AATAGGTTGGAACAACCGGCCCTTAATCATAAGGCCGTAAGAAAATAGACCAATCACACTCGATTATTCTTGGCTGCATTCGGGGAGCGCGCTATTAGCGCTATTTGCTTATTCTATCCTTGTTTTACATTTAATGAGTGATAAAGATAGAATGATACAATAGCGCTAATAGCACGCTCTCCGAATGCAGCCCTTATCAAGCGCCGCAAGCGCGAGAAGAATTCGATTCTGCATTGCTCTGCACTTCATTGCTCTCGCCAGAGAGAAACCTGAGAGAGGCCATCCCGCCCTTTTTCGTGTGTTGCTGTGTTGCATTTTCCGACGCGCCGCCTGAGAAAGTGCAACTCAACTACGTCGTATCGCTCGGTAATCGCACATGGTTTGCGTCCGTGCTAATGGTTCGTGTCCGAACTAGCCAGCTGGAGGGGATATTCTGGCCGCGGCGGCCGCGCTTCCATCTTGCGTATTCCAATTAATAACGAATTACGATAATTAAAATTACAAAATTAAGATTACATTCTTCAAAATTATTACGAATTTTGTATCTCATAATTTTGAAAAATATAATCGTAATTTTATAATTTTAATTTTCAGATAAATGACAAATTTTGCAAGCAAGAAGCTATTGTTTGAGCGTTGATTCAAACCTTCACATTTATGTGAAATTTATAATAATTAACGATAATTTTTAAAATGTGAAATTCTATAGATAAAGAATAAACACCGTTATGATCTTAATCGTCTTCTGTTGATTTCGTATAATATATCCGGCATTAGTATCATACAATTTCAAATTTATTACACGTTTTCTTATAATTCCTTATTACAATAATTTTTTTATAAATAATGTTACATATGGAGGGGTAAAAGCCATAGTGGTGTAAGTCAAATTTTTTAAAATATATTTTTTTTTACCTAACGCGTTATTTCTGCTTACCCGAATTTATTAGTTTATTTAGTTTTATTATTATTAGTTTATTTTATCAATATTAATTAGTCGCAACCGCGATACCCGAAATTAAAAAAGTAAAGATTTTTAAAGAAAGTTTAAAAAATTTTAAGTTTGCGATTAATTGAGATTAAGCTGGAGACGTCACTTTCCCGTCTCCGATTACGCGTTCCCATGTGTAAAAAATATTACCCTCCTTATATATGCATTATACACTAAACTGGTGGTGTTCAACACCAACCTACCTTGTGTAGATCTTCTCTCCTTTGACCAGTTTGACCATACCATTTCATGGCCAAATCCATTCTGGCAAAGCCAGAAACAAGAAGAAGAAATACACCTTCTGTTGCCGCCTAATCATAGACGGCAAATGAGCATAATGATTTTACGCTTTTTCCCACGATGCGCGAAACACGACCGCGTCGCGAAGGACCATTTGTAACAAAATTAAATTAAGTAATTTTAAAATTACTAGCTTTCAAAATCTACTTAATATCGTACAAACTATAATTTACGCAAGTGATCATTTTCTCGATTAAGAACAAAAAAGATTTTAATTAGTTAGGAGCTGTTAATTTGGAAAAAACCCATTTTAATCAACCGCGTATGTAATCCGAATAAATTCGACTACATTTTACGAATAATAGCAACTTTAATTTAAATCTGATATAAGCATGCAGGACATAAATAAAAATGCAAAATGTAAAATGAATAACAATATTGACTAACGCAAACTGAAAAAATCTAAGGCCCATTTTTTTTCGATATCGTTTCGCATATATCGAGTCTCACCTCAAAAGGATGAAAAATAAGGAATTAATGACGTGAGATCCGAAAGAGATAATCAAGTTCCTGCACAATATGGAGCTAATGTGAACACTTTATGCACTCGAGCAAACAATTTGAATTTTGATAGTTACATCTTATTACGATAATTATACTACTACTTAAAAATCAAGTATTTATATTAACGCGAAATTAAGTAATCAAGTTGAAAATAATTGTTACAAAAAATTATCTATTTTGCAAAACATCATTTATCAGATCTCACGTCATATCGCTTTAACTATAGTATAAAAACCAGTTATCAATACATATATGAATAGACTGTGAAAGCTTAGGCTAAAATTGGTGCGTTATAGGAACAAATAATTTTAAATAATGATCGTGAACACACACAATTTTGTTAAATGGCTTACGTAAAAAATATATTAAATAGATTGTATATACATAACAATAAATGATTAAAATAGTGCAAAGTACTTTTTATCTTCACTAGACACTACAGACGCGCGCTTTGCGCGCGCTATTTATAGCTTTAACATTATGTTATTACTATTACACTATTAACCCTTGATACACACAACTGTCAAAATATACAATGACAGCTGCAAATGAAGTAAGCGCAGCAAGAGAACCAATCGGCATCGCGGAAAAGTGACAACAATACCTACAACATGCCCTTTTTAGAAAAAGAAGAAAGAAGAAATCGTGATATATGCAAGCTAAAAGCATCTCTAAGCGTATTATATATTGCATTCTTGCACCAATTTATGTAACACTTAATCCTGAAAGATATTTGGGATGGAATTTACAATGACAAAATGTACGACAAATCAATTTAGGTGATTTATCCAAGATTAAATGTTAAATCCTAATCTGACCCAGTCATTCCATTTTAAGACAACGAATCTATGAAACGTAATATATGTAATAATTTATTGTGATAACTTGACACCGCAATATATTTGACGTAATTGTCATAAATTCATTACCTCAATTATGAAATTTTAATCATCACTCACCGACCGATGCGCAACAGCGGAGTTATTCTGCAACGTCGCTACGATGATTCTGTAACAAAGAAATGTAGAATCCGAATTAAAGCAGAGTGCAAGAGAGAGAGAGAGACAGTCAATATTTCAAAAAATGATTACTATATAAACACTAAATTTTATATTATTGTTTATTAAGCAAATTTAATGAAATAATTTTGTAATTTCTTAAGAATACTCTATCCATTGAACATAAGCTTCTATAGAATTTCTAAAATAAAACTATTTTTCTCTAACTTTTATTTTCTGAATAACTATCCGGTTAAAAAGTAAATGACCCATCAGTATAAGATATAATATGTGTATATGTATAAATAAATTATATTTACCGCTTGTTGCTCCGCCGGCGCCTGATGCCTACTCCTAGGCCTCCACCTCCTCTCAGGCTGCTCGGGATGTCAGTTACTGTTTCCTCGATGCGAAGATACTCCTTCCTGCGTGAATATTTTCTGTAACATAAAAATAATCGAATCGACTAAATAATTGTCACGCACATCGAACATCTTATTCGTTATTACGATTAATGTTTTTCTAAATTACATCTTCGAAAAAAGTCTCTACGTTAGAATCAACTTGAATCAAATTTTTCGATTTATTTTTTTTACTAATTTATATTCCAAAACATGGTTTAATGTAGCAACTAAATAAAAACAAACAAAAAAAAGATTCTATAATATCTTTAGAAAAAATAAAAAATAACACTTACCAGAAGTGTTAAGTACGCCGATGCCCGATGCCTCTCCTAGGCCTCCACCTCTTCTCAGGCTGCTCGAGATGTCCATCGTGTTCCCTCGATGCGAAGCTGATGGTCCTTCCAGCGTGGATATTTTCTGTAACATAAAAATAATCGAATCGATTAAATAATTGTCACGCGCATCGAACATCTTATTCATTATTCAGATTAATGTTTTCTTAAATTACTTCTCCAAAAAAGATCTCTACGTTAGAATCAACTTGAATCAAATTTTTCAAATTATTCCTTTTTACTAATTTATATTTCGAAACACGGTATAATGTAGCAACTAAATAAGGATAAACGAAAAAAGGAATTCTATAATATTTTTAGAAAAAATAAAAAGTAACACTTACCAGAAGTGTTGGTACGTTGATGCCCGATGCCTATCCTAGGCCTCCTCCTCCTCCTCTCAGGCTGCTCGGAATGTCAGCTACGCAGCATTCCCTCGCTGCTCCGATGTCACGTTCAGCGTCGTTATTTTCTGAAATATTCAAATGAACGATTCGATTAAGTAAAGACAGAAGAGATAGAAAATTTTTGGACATGAGTAACATAGTACGTAAAAATCAATTACACTCACCACTTTCTTTCAGGCTGCTCTGGCCGCAAAATCCACCTCCACCTTCGGATCAAATAGGAGTCTCGAGCCACATTGAGACTCGTGGCAATGCAGTGTGACTTCATCCATTAAGCAAGAAAAATTAAGAAGCCATTTCGGCTATATTGCATTAATTTTACGACGTTGTTGCAAAATAGTCGAAATGTTTCTTGACCTTTCTCGCTTAATAGAAATGTAATTGCTAAAAGGAATTAAAAATTATTCTCTACCTTTTTTTTTTTTTTTTTTTTTAACGTGGTGGAAATCTTCGAAAGACTCCCCCGCTCCTGAGGAAGGGAGGGAGAGTGTCGGATTCTACGCGCACGCGTACCACCGTTACGAGGGGCGCTTCAGAGGACCGAAATCCCCTGAGCCTCCCTCAGCGTGGCATCGCGCGCCCACAGCCTACCGACTAAAACCACCACGAGCGACCCTGACCTAACTTTCTAAGGGTGGGGGGTGTCGATCCGCAGACACACGCACCTCGCTAAGCTACG